TTCATCTTTGTTTTTCAGAGATACCCAATGAAAAAGAAATATTCTTGTTCTTCTGTGGCAACCAAGCAAAAGGTTAGTCTGAGAGCAAAGCAGAAAATAAGCAGTTTTAGGAGCACAAAGAACACCCTCCTTTCCCTCTTGCATAAGCCAAAGGTAACTGTTAAGAACTGATCCAGAGTGTGGGGGGGGGGAGGCTTCACTGAATTGCCAAACCACTTCCTGTAACTACATATAGACTTTCCCTTTAAAGCAGGCTATGATTTCAGCTGTGGAGCTGGCTATTGGTGGTCTTATTAAAACTGTAACAACTAGAATTTTGGATTATCACAGATAGAATTTTATTTCAATTGTTCAGATAGAATAAAGCTGAACACAACTAATATAAAAATCCAATTAAAATCATATTGGTTCATGAGGAAAAATATAGATGAAAATGTTATTAGGATTAGCCAACATAGATAAACCTTTTTATTGCTTCTTCTTCCCCAATCTCCTGGTTTCTATAATATTTTGCCTGCTATAATTCCTGACTTTTAATTGTTTTAATAAAGGTAATATAATCTATAAATGGTTTAACAACTTATGATTCAGAGGTATATAAATATCCACTTTCTTGATTAATCCAAATTACAGTGCCACAGGAACAAAAAGTATATCAGTTTCCATATGGTCCCATACCTGAATGCTTTAATCAAAGAAGATTATTATTATTACAGCTGAATTCTCACTAAAGAGGCTAGATCTTAAAGGAATCCCAAATCTTTTTTACCAATTATTATAGTGTTCAGTCTCTCTGCTTCACAGATCAAGTCATTCACTCAGAGATAGAAAATAGCTTATTTAAATATTATTGTATGATTCTAATTATTTGAAAATATTTGAATAAGAGTCCTTCTCTTCCAGTGACTGGTTTTCCATAAATTCAGCTCAAAGATTCCAATCAAGAGTTTTGGACAGCTGCAAGACTCATAACTGTGATATTTAAATATATGTTGGCCATCACGGCTACCTAGGGATAAATTTGGTGTTATTATTATTCCAGGTCTTTGAGCTGTCCTAAAAAAACTCCAATATCTTTTCTGCTATTATTTTTAAGATTGAACCTACACTATTTGACCTCTCATCCTCTTAATGGTTCCTGTAACCATACAATTTTTTATTAGAGGATCCCATGGTGGTAACCAATGGGACATGCCATTCAGTAAACAACAAACAACATTTCACTCATTTTAATCCCCTCACTTGACCTATGCTGCTAGACTGAATCATTCAGCAAAGAAGCAAATCACTGGGGGAAAAGTGCCCACTCAGGGAAGAAATACAAGGCCTCCTTATATCTGTCTTCTTAATAAATAAAGGATTGAATTCTGTGTATATGTGTGTGTGAACCTTAACTGCAACAAAACAAAAGCAAAGCAGCACAGCTTGTGATATACCAGGCCAAATACACCTTAATAATGAGCCATTTAATATTTCATTCGAGGTTTAGTCAGCTCTGTGGTGACTATTTGGGATTGGGGAAAAAAGAGGAAGGAAATGTCACACAGAATAAAATTCATGCTTTTTTTGTTATTAAGACCAGGGGTCCCCAATCCCCGATCTGCAAACCACTACCGGTCTGTGACCCATTGGGAACTGGGCCCCTCAAGCAGTGGGGGACCACACAAAGCTCCATTTGTGCATGTGCAGGATTAGGTTGTGCATACAAAACCATCCCCTACCGACCCCCCCCTCTGCCACTGTTGTTGATCCCAAAACCACAAAGTTTGGGGACTGCTGATTAAGGGTATATGATCCCAAAGATGGCAACCATTACAAATAAAATTGCAAGCAAATAATAAAAACAGAAAACTAATATATAGAAAATATATTCACTAAAACATAAGGAAATACTGTAGATGTTGTGAATCAGCCCAGATCCATCTTGAATGCAAGAAGATTCAATTCAAAACTTCCCTCAAGTCAAACCCAACTATTTTCCAAACTAAATTATAGCCAAGATATTCCATTCCAGTATTAATAGGTGGAACCTTCTAAGGTTTAGCCCACTGATAAACAATCCAATAAGAGTTTCTGTCCTAGGCTGTAATGGTGACACATCAAATACCTGCAATTGCAGCGTTTGGGACAGAATGGATCTATACAGAAATAAGTATGCAAAAAAAAAAAACCAGCACAGCAGTTTCTGAACTTTTCAGGAAGTTTTTCAGCTTCCAAGAAGTTGTACTTAATTAATACAGAAAGTATTTTTTTCAATTTATAATAAATACATTCAAAAACTGTTTTCAAAAGAAGTTCTTATTGAATGAATCCCCCATTCTCTGCTTACTTTTCTGAGCTGGCAGATTCATTGGCATGGCAAAATGAGCTCTTCAGAAAATGACACATTATGTATTGCTTGTCCAACAATAGAAGAGAAGTTTGTGGATGCATAACCACTATTGTATACATAATGTACTACTGTATATATAAATATATAACATGCAATATCATGGTACATAGTTTTTGGGATGCATAGTTAGCAGCAGGCACACTATTTTATGCCCATTCATGCAAGGAAGGCTCATTCAGTACATGATCAAAGCTTTTTCTTGTTTTGGTTTTTTAAAATGTTGTTGTTTGTTTGTTTTTCATTTGGGGTGTAGGGGAGAGAATAAAAGAAAAAGAAAATAAATAGGGGACTTGAATACAACAGTCAGATTAGATAACTGAACTATCCTTAAATTCAGCCAAACAAATGGTAAGTTAATTATAAGAATATATGGCTATGGATCAGGGAAAAGAGAAAAGTTCATATAAGAGCAAATGATGGCTCAGCAGCCAGAATACTGAGAGCCTAGGTTTGAGACCCAAGCGCCGTGCGACAGGATGAGCTCCCATTCCTTGCTCCAGCTCCTGCCCACCTGGCAGTTTGAAAGTATGCAAATGTGAGTAGATTAATTAACCACTTCAGCAGGAAGGTAACAGTGTGCCATGTGCTTTTGGCATATAGCCAATGGTAAATGTCTTCAGATAATGCTGGTTCCCTCAGCCAAGAAACAGAGATGAGCACCACGCCCTAGAGTCAGACACAACTGGGCAGGGAAAACCTTTACCTTTTTAGTTTAAAAAAAAAGGCAACTTTTCTTTTCTAGAGAATCTGCCTAAACAAATTACTGTATAGCAGAACAATGAAATAATAGCAGGACTGCAGCACTCTTCTAATAGGCAAATTTTTTACAGATAATGAAACTCATTGCCCAGATTGTACCACTACTTAAGACCAAACCCCAGTTTTGTTCCTATATGTTAGAAAAGTTGCAACATTTGAATCAGAAAGTCTACCATGTCTCAAATTGCCCTCAGCTGTTTTTGAAGTGTTTCAAAGGCAACTTATTCAATGAAATATCTCAAAATCAGTTTGAATATTTGATTCCAATAATTGACTAGGTTTGATTGACTATCCTAATATTCTAATCACCCCTAATAGGAAGTTGTTTTCTATTTGACATTTGGTACAGTGGTCCTTTCAATGTCCAGATGGGATTTTTTTCCTAGCCGTACCTAATTTCCCAGGAAAAGTGCATACAATATTTTACCATTAGGCAACTTTTTTCCTTAAATTGAAAGGGAACAAAAATTCAAACCAAACCAACAATTTACAGAAAAGCTATTTAACAGAATATTTGTTACATTTCATGTAATAAAAAGTTCTAAAATCTGAGTGCCACATTTGAAATACTTTGTCTCAGCTAGCTCAAATTTCCAGTGTGGGATATGGATTAAGAATTTCAATAAAAACACAATGGAGAAGTAGGTTTAAGTATGCTTTAACACAGTTGACTGACTATGCCTATTTTGATTTGGTGAGTCAAAAGTTGCAGTGCCCTGACCTGAAATAACTGAGATCTCTTTTGCAGTTTCTTCTTTACTATTCTTTCCAGTTCTTAATAAACATCAAATGAGAAAAGCTGTATTGAAGGAGTGACAAGGTTACTGTGTAATTTACGTAGCCATACTTGTCCATAGATGCTATGCCCTTCTACAAAGTACATTCAGCTTTGTAAGAAGACCAACTTGAGATAACACTTCTTGTGTAATTACTAGAAGCAAGTAAGTGTATCTGAGAGAGCTCTCAAGAGCAAAGCAATGCAGTTTGTCAACTCATAGCACTGTGCAGCAATCTTATATCCTTTATTTCATATACAGTAAATGCACTTCCTTTATGAGGCATTTGGTCTACAAATACAGCAGAACAATATACATTATTATTGGATATCAAGGAAATTATATTATTAATAGATCGTTTTGTATCAAAGAACCAAATTTTTAGGATCATACAAATGGCACAAAAGTGCAGAGAAATCTTTAAACATTTGTCATCATATATATAGTTTCCAAAAATATCAGCAGCACTGTGTCTCATCATCTAGCCCATTTGGGCGGGTGGGATCTGCTTTTCTCTCTTCCTTTGACTACTTTAAAAACAGATTAAGACTTCAACTTCCTACAGTCTGACACATCATATGTTCATCTGAGAACATTAATCATAAGCAAGGACATGGTGTCTAATAAAATGCAGAGGAAATACTAGCTGCTTCTCCCACATTTGCCCAACCATTTTTCCCACATCCCTCTGAATAATATACATGTACATATACATATATGTACATGTACAAGCACACACACATGAATACACATAAATATACATACCCACACACAAAACTTGAAAAGGAAGCCATTTCCAATTTGGTGTATATAAAATACATCTTCTCCATATACTTCAAGTTTTGGGGATAATTTTTCCCCTTTCTCTCTGACATATAGTGATAAATTTACAAGAACTAAGCACACTGCTGGTCAATCACTGATAGAACCAGGCAATAGGTTAAAAAAGCATGCACATGAAATAAACAAAATCCATATTTTGAGGCTGTAACCTCTAAGTTTCCAAACCCTAAACAACCACAGCAGACCCATTGTTAAAAAAATTAAAAAAGAAAGAGACCATCTTTGATTACCATCTTGTCCAGAAGTCTCCAGATATTCACTCAGCTCACAGCCAAAGACGTTCGTGGCTCCTTTCCTCTTGAGTTTCAGCTTTCCTGCCTTGTTCTTCATGAGTTAATTCCAAAAAAGAGGATTACCCCTCCTTCCTTCCCCCCACCCCCCTTTTTACACCAAATAAGTTAAAAGTTCTCCCCTCTTATTCTCAGATTTGTATTGTTTGTGTCCCGTTTCTGGTCAGCAACATTGAAAGCCCAGAAGAACTTTCAGCCGGATGCCTCAACATTAATCTCCACCAGATGTTAAGCTGTTACAACTACGGCTGTTGTAGAAGGGAACAATCAGTACATATAGAGATCTCCAGCAGGAAGCAGCATGAAGTTTGTAGCCCAAGTTCAGGATGGTTCTCTATGAGGGAGTTAAGAAACCAATGTCTACAGCAAAACTGGCAACAGAGATCAGATTTTGGCTGAGGTTCTTTCTTGCTGATGCATCCCAACAAATCAAATGAAGCTGGCCTTCAAATTAAATCAAGCTGAGTCTTTCATAGAAAAAAAATCAGACACTCCGAATCCATTTTTCCCCATGAACGTGTAAAAAAGGGAGAAAGAGAAAAAGAGAAAAATACAAAATTGATGAAGAGCTGCAAATCTATGTAGGCTTTACATTTTAAGCCCCTTACTCTGTTTTGGGGCTATTGGACAGTATTAGGAGAACAAGAAATTGGCTTCCTTCCTTAATGCAGTCTCTCTCACTCTCCCCTTTCCTCTCCTTTTACCAATTCTGGGATTATCCAGTTCAGGAAATGCTGAAAGGAAATTAGCAGGGGAGGGAGGAGGATGGACTTTTTTGGTCAGTAAAGTATGTGTGTGTGTGTGTGTGTGTGTGTGTGTGTGTGTGTGTGTGTGTGTGAGAGAGAGAGAGAGAGAGAGAGAGAGTATATGAGTGTGTATTTAAGAAAAGTAAGAATAGGGGGGAGCAGAAAGAGTAGTTTTCAGCAAAGAAGGGAGGGAGAAGAATGTCCTGCCAGCTAAAAGATAACGGGACACTCTGAAAGGAAATTATTCCACAGAGCAGGGGCCCAGAGCAGCTTTGTGCTCTGATGTTTCCTGTTCCACAAATGGTCAACTCTGAAAAAGACTCAGGGAGGGGCCAGGGAAGGAGGGTGGAGTAGAACTGGTTTCAATAAATGCTCAACTCTTTTTTATTGATTCCTTTGCCACAATCTCTCTCTCTCTCTCTCTCTCTCTCTCTCTCTCTCTCTCTCTCTCTCTCTCCATGTTTCCTCATATTGGACTGAGTGTTCTCTGTTTTCTATAATCAGAGTGATGGGGGAGGGAGGAGAGAGATTGAGCAAGCAAGTAATGAGAAAGCAAAGTGGAAGAAGCTGTAAGGTCTCTCAGCCTAGGGCCTACCAAACAAATGCATCTCATTTCCTCAAACCAATTGAAGTATTGAATCCTAAATTTGAATCTTGAAATTAGATCATAACCTGCCACTCTAAGCTGCACCATTCCACAACTAGTCAGTAAGGTATCCAGCAATTTCTGAAAAGGAATAGTTGTACATCCTACTGTTTTAAGGTTAATGCACATTGAGAGACCAATATGCTCTATTTCTGTCATGGCTTCATAAAATGATACAAAGTGATTTAAACAGATTAGGTTGGTATGATTTTTTTCACTTCAGAGTTCTTGAGATAGAAGGAAAGGTATTGGGTTTTTTTAGTTGATTTTTAAAAAATAAGCAAGGCAGTCTATAAAGTACAAATAAAAAACAAACAGGTATTCAAAATACTTTAATAAAGATTCCCAACACTATGAACAATCTTTAAAAACAAAGTGTAACTTATACAGGCACTACATGATTTTGATCCAATTACCATCTAATATAACTATTAGAAATAGTTATATTTCTATAATAGTGCCATAAAAAACAAAATAGAAACACAAGTTAAGATAGGCAAGAAAATGGTAAGTGAGCACCTGTCCAGCCTAGATGAGTTCAAATAGCCAGGACCAGATGGATTACATCCCAAGGTTCTCAAGGAACTGGCAGATGTGATATCGGAACCACTGAACTATATTTTTCAAAGATCCTGGAACACAGGGGAACTACCAGAGGACTGGAAAAGAGCTGATGTAGTTCCCATCCTCAAAAAAGGAAAAAAAAAATGGATCCAGGAAATTACAGACCTATCAACCTGACCCCAATACCTGGGAAGATCCTGGAAAAGATAATCAAACAACGAATCAACGAACACCTAGAGGCAAACAAAGTCATTACTAAAAGCCAACATGGGTTTGTCAAAAATAGATCATGCCAGACAAATCGTATTGCATTCTTTGACCAAGTGACAAAATTAGTGGATCAGAGGAATGCTGTGGACATAATTTACTTGGACTTCAGCAAGGCATTTGATAAAGCAGATCACAACCTACTACTTGATAAGATAGAAAAATGTGGGGTAGACAGAATCACCACCAGATGGATCCATAGCTGGCTGACCAGCCGTACTCAGCGTGTGGTTCTCAATGGAACTGCATCTATATGGAGGGAAGTGTGTAGTGGGGTGCCCCAGGGCTCTGTTCTGGGCCCAGTGCTCTTCAAAATCTTCATCAATGATTTGGACGAAGGGATAGATGGGGAACTCTTCAAATTTGCAGACGACACCAAGCTGGCAGGAATAGCCAACACTCCTGTCCAGATACAGAAGGATCTGGACAGACTTGAACACTGGGCACTAACTAACAAAATGAAATTCAATGGTGAAAAAAGCAAGGTTCTACATTTAGGCAAGAAAAACCAAATGCACAAGTACAGCATAAGTGGCACCATGCTCAATAGTAGTAACTGTGAGAGGGACCTCGGAGTCCTAGTAGACAATAACCTAAATATGAGCCAGCAGTGTGCTGCAGCTGCCAAAAAGGCCAACACAGTGCTAGGCTGCATTAACAGAGGGATAGAATCAAGATCACGTGAAGTATTAATACCACTCTTCAATGCCTTGGTAAGGCCACACCTGGAATACTGCATCCAGTTTTGGTCACCACGATGTAAAAAAGATGTTGAGACTTTAGAAAGAGTACAGAGAAGAGCAACAAAGATGATTAGGGGACTGGAGGCTAAAACAGATAAGGAACGGTTGCGAGAATTGGGTATGTCTAGTTTAACGAAGAGAAGGACAAGGGGGGACATGATAGCAGTATTCCAATATCTCAGGGGCTGCCATAAAGAAGAGGGAATTAAGCTATTTTCCAAAGCACCTGAAGGCAGGACAAGAAGCAACGGGTGGAAACTAATCAAGGAGAGAAGCAACCTAGAACTAAGGAGAAACGTCCTGACAGTGAGAACAATTAATCAGTGGAACAGCTTGCCTCCAGAAGCAGTAAATGCTCCAACACTGGAAGTTTTTAAGAAGAGACTGGACAGCCATTTGTCCGAAATGGTGTAGGGTTTCCTGCCTGAGCAGGGGGTTGGACTAGATGACCTCCAAGGTCCCTTCCAACTTTAGTACTACTACTACTACTACTACTACTACTACTATTATTATTATTATTATTATTATTATTATTATTATTATTATTATTATTAAATTTTGCACATCAAGCATATTTTAGGAGAGGCAGGCAACTGCTGCCCTCCAAGTTATCTGGAATACAACTTTAACATTCCCTGAACATTAGCGTGGATTTGGAATTTATGGAAGTTATACTCAAAACTTCATATGGTATCCTATTTTGTTCAGAAATAAACACTGAATTTTTAAACAGTTCTTTCATTGGGACATCTTCACTGAGCAAGTCTATTCTAAATTTATTTATAGAACACAGTTGGGTGTTGTATTTATTTTGAATGTCTTAAGAGAGGGGCATGATTTTTGTTAGATCTTGTGACATATATTATCAGAAGCATGTATGATTTTTAATGGGAAGGCTAGACTAATAGTGTTATAGATGAAGACACTTCAAAACAGCCACATATTTAACATGTCTAACAAAGGACCTCTAAGAAACAGAACTTTATCTTAGTTTTCTTTTTTTTTTCCTTTTTGTTTCTTGCTTTTTGAAAAATATAACTGGAGACAGTGATCTGATTGTATGGAAATTTTAAATAGATTATAAATCAATCACACACAGAGACATACATCTCTAGACAATGTAAGAAATACTGCACCAAATCCAGAAAGTTGTCAGTGAGAAATGTATCTAGCCAAAAATGATCTTATCCATGATTTTAAATCAGAAGTGAGCAAACTGTGCCAGTGAATCCTTTTTCTGGATACTGGAGGCCCCTGTGTATAAATTATGAAAAAGCATTGAACTGTTTTTCCCTATATTAAGATACTAGCCCTAAAAATATCATTCCTTCACAACAGGAGAAAATAAAAAATTGCTGTTCTAAGTCATGTCCAACTCTTTGTGACCCCATGGACCATAGCACACTAGACCCCCCTCTGCCCTCCAATGTCTCCATGAGTTTGACCAAATTCATGTTCATTGCATCTTTGACAATATCTAACCATCTCATCCTCTGCTGCCCCCTTCTCATTTTGCTTTCCATCTTTCCCAACATCAAGAACTTTTCCAATGAGTCTTTTCTTCTCATTTGGTGGCCAAACTATTTGAGCTTCAGTATCTGTCCTTCCAAAACACAGTCAGGATTAATTTCCTTTATGATTGACTGATCTGATCTCCTTGCAATCCAAGGGACTCTCAAGAGTCTTCTCCAACACCACAATATGAAAGCATCAATTCTTTGGTGCTCATCTTTCCTTATAGTCCAACTCTCACAGCCATGCATACTATGAAAACCATATTTTTCACTATCTGGACCTTTGTCAGCAAGATGATGTCTCTGCTTTTTAATATGCTGTCTAGGTTTGCCAAAGAAAAAATTAAGGTCATGTTAAAGTGTGCAATATTGCCCCTTCCATTTTGTATTTTTATTTGCCAACTGCAGTCCCAATTCCTTCAAATTACACGGAGCCTCATTTACCTAAGACATTGTCCATCACTTGATTACAATTGCAACAGATTATGTTTCTTATATTGAGGAGTATGCCATTTTTTATGTTGAAGAATAGTAATTATAATGGAGAAATATGTTTTTGGCTTGTTCTCATTAGTGCAGAATTTAACATTCCTCCCAGTATTTCAATATAAGAGAGTATCCTGTTTTTCAGAAGAGTTAGATGAATGCTTCTAGCATGCTAGCACCTACCATGCCTAAAGGATACAAGATGCCACCATTCTGAACATTGAAATATAGAGGGATGTTATAAAAGTACTGGGTGAATCTTTCGTTAAACCTGAAAAGGAGGTAATATTTAGGCATTAGTCAGGACAAGGGATGATTGAGAACTGAATGGTGATCAGCAGCATGCCAGCTAGAAATTTGGGGAGGACACATTGGGACGATACTTTTTCCAGTTGGGTGGCTTCCACATTCGGTGACATCTGCAGCAAACTACAACAATGCTTAAAAGATTACTTGAGTCTACTAATATAATTTTGCAAATCCCATAATTACGTACTTGGATCAAGTCATTTTATCTGTGAGAGGGGCAGCATATAAATTTAATAAATAATTTTTAATAAATAAACAAGTAAACCAACACAAATGCATATACATTTTGACATTTGGTGGACTGTATCATTAGATATGTGCTATCATTTACCCTCTTGTTTCCTCTGCATTTGCTTGTGTCCACATACATTGGATGGCCAATTCCTAGCCTCTAGCAAAAGTTGACCTGTAAATTGTGGACCTAAAGAAAAAATAACAGCATCGAATCATTTCTCTTTCCAGCCATTTTAAGTATTCATTTTGGAGATCAGTATCTTGTTATA